CCCCCCCCCCCCCATGCCCTCAGCGGGTTTGCGGCATGCCACAGAATAAGAACCAGTTATAGAAAAAATTCAAGCAAGCGGCACACAACAGAAGACTATTATTTTGAGGAATTCAATGAAATGGAATTCGCAAGCAAATAACAATACACCTTTTGCTTTAGATTGATTACGTTCTACAAAAATAATCGTCTTATGGCACTATACGCTCAGATTGCCACCAGGATAGATTGCTCTACTGCTTGAGAACCTTCTTTTTTAGATTGAAGTGTCTCATTGCAAATCCGTCCCTATTCTGCTACCCCAACAAATCGCCAACGAGATTCTACGAGGCGCTCTCGATCAACCGTATTTATTCTGGACGATGGCTCCTCCGTGATGCTTAAAGAGTCCAAATGAGCGAAAAACGCACAGAGTAAGTACCTAGCCCTACGCATGAATGATACATGCATTTATATGTACAGTTAGAAACAATAGAGCCGACAAGACTTCTAACCAAAACATCAAGAGAAATGAAAGGATTGGTTCAAGTTGTCTTTGATAAAGTCGTCCAGTGGCTAGCAAAGAAGCAAGAGCAGTACTTGGTCAAAAAATGAAATTGAAAATTCTTAAAGGGAAACTTACAATTTTCTTGATGAACATGACTGTCATCGGTCAGTTCTCCATCGTCAGGCGAACCATAATTGCTCATAACCTTTCTGAAACCAAAAAAAATTAATGCTGTATCTAACCAATCTTATAACACGTATTCAGAGAAATCGTGTCTGTAAGAAAACAAAGGTCTCAACCATTTCAGTGGACTTCACAAACTCGAAGATAAACTAATAACACAAAGATAAACCGCTTTTTTCAAAAGCCTCATACCAATAAAGTCCCCTACGTCGATTTGGTCGGTACCAATGAAAAAAAATCCAAAGGACGATTATCTCCAGGATGTAAGACACAGATCTCATCCAGTAAAAACCAATTCTCAAAACATAATGCATAAGAGAAATAAGATCCCGCGGACTGCTTTCCAGTCTTGAATACTTTGTTTTCGAAAATCTCGGATGAAAAACTAAAACAGAGCAAAGCATAAACGGGAAAGAACGACGCGCTGCCTTTCAGCAAGCGGCTGCGCTGCGGTCCTCGTGTTGGAGCGCAATGTGGAGTCATTTCAGCGTCCTAGCCGGCGTCCTATACTTTATATTTCCATGCGCTCTGGCCATTAGCAATAGAGAGCGGAGCACAGTGAAGCGGCTTCCTTCCACCGGAATAATAGGACTCCATCATTTCCGTTTCTGTGGAGGGTTCGACACTCAGAGACTCACATTTTTATCCTCTTCGTGAAGAGTAACATTTGTTGACAGCGGTCTTGTAACCATTCGACTTTCCAACGTAATTCGAAAGGGCTTGGATTCTAATGTTAATGTTTGGTAGTAAGTTAGCGCTGATCTTTAGTTTGAAATACAATGTTTCCCACCTCAATTCGTGAACGTTGAAGTCTATTTCGTAAATATTCCATGCAAGTTCGTAGTTCCCATTCCATTTCGCAAATTTCGGATTCGTTTACGTATTTGTTTATCACAATTCGTGAATTTTGCAGTCAGTCCCGGAAATGTTGCATCTTTCTTCGTAAATTTTCTAAAGTTGGCAAACTGCCACGAACGGGCATGTAGATTTTGTTGACTTCGATAGGGGCTTCTAATGCGGAAAGCTTTTGCCAGTTTCACGATGAGCTGTTTCTGGTTCCTGAAGAGGACAATGTTCGATTCCACAANAGTGGTGAGATTTTCGGATGTGTGAATGAAATTAAAAGTGAAATTAGATTGAAATGATGAAGTGCATTTACAATAAAAGGACAAGTTAATGAAATTGATCGCAAAGTCCGCAAAATGTAGTACAAACACGAGATTGGCTGCAATTTCTACGAATTTAGGTGAAAATCCTTGCAGATGCTAATTGCCCCAATTTCAGCCCTTATGAAAGTTTTCTCGTTCTGATGTACTTCCTCGTTTTTCGCTTTTTTAAATCATTTCACATAACATTATTGAATTGTCGTGTCTACAGATACAGCGTCGTCGTGAATATGTCGGGGCCTGGAGAACGCTTCCATGTTTTGGCACAACTGGACCATCTCCACTCTAAATATACTGGAACCGGACATGCAGATACCACACGGTACGAGTGGCTCACAAATCAGTTGAGAGATACACGAGCTTCCCAGGTATTTTTATTCTCCTTTTTTCTGCTTTTAGAATTGACATGATATTTGTTAGTTTACGTTTTGAGTTTGGCCTTAAGTCTTACCTCTAGAAGGTCTCGTCCCTGCAGATCAAAATTGGTTGTCTCCTTTCGTGCTATGAATAGTTGTTCAAGTTATATTCGCCTTAGCTCCAGGTTCATCTGCTCAATCTTTGCTGGCTTTCGATGTTTAGCTTACTATTTTTACCCAAAATAACTAAAAAATCTCGCGAAATTTCAATGCTTTTTGCTACTTTCTAAGTGTAAATAGAAAGTGGGATGAACAGGAAGCATGTGGCAGTTTTTTTTTCTGTTCTACTAGTTCTTGCTAGTCTAACCTCGCTCACGAATCGTTTAAATGCCTTCGGTTACTTGCGTAATCTAAGTGTGCGAAGGACTACTATAACTTCACGTTTGAATTCATTGGTAAATTCATGAGCAATAGGAATTCGAGTAAATCGTCATGTTGATGTGAACCTTTTCCGATGGCTTAGTCAACCTAATGGGCCACGGAACGTTGGAAGAAATTTCTGCTTTTCTACAATTGCATCAAGCAGTAGAATGCCTACACACTCCATTTCCCTCCCTAAGGCTGGATCTATACCGGGCATAGCGTTGCTCACTTAGGCTATGCTTGAATGTTTCTGTTCATACCGGAGGCAGGGTCATCAAGAAATAGTGAGTGGTATAAGCGAAATGTGTCCGTACATTTGTCCGACTCTACGCAAACTTATATTAGTGCCTCCTTGTTCAGTTGTCTCAGATTTGAGTATTTCTACCTAGCAGATTTTCCATATGTAGTTGCAGCATTTTGAAATGCTGTCACACATGACTTGCGAACGAAGTGGCTTGAGCTTCCAGTCTTGAAGATGCACAAGCACTGTAGTTGCAAGTCTATTTGTAAATTCAGGCCGAGATAAAGAGGAAAATTTTCATGTTCCGGCAATTATGGTCTTCTCTTCCTTGATATTCTTTTTGAATCTTCTGAGTTGTTTTTTTGTAAGACAGGATTCAGTTGTGATTTCGTGATTTAATGCCTTCCAAAACTTTGATATTGCAACAGTTGAACGAAGTCACCCACAACATGCAACATGTTTTTAAACGAGGGTTGACATTCCAGAAGACCTTTTATAGAAGGTGAAAGATCTGGTACTGAGAAAACCTGTCATAATGTAATCGGTCGTAGGAGTTCACAAATTCCTCTTTCGCCCTGATTTTTGGTTTAGTTTCCACGTGATATACTTGTTTCCCTCACCTTCAATTTGTCACTGAGGCGTGTGTAATCAGCAATAATGTTGTAAACACATCCTGCCTTCTTATTGATAAGATGTGTTTACGAGCTCATTACGCTGTGGTTCTCTGTCTTGCTCTCCTTCTTTTCCTCTTGGTAAAACTGGACCGTCTCTACAATTGTTTCAAACCTATAACCTGTTTTTATTTCAGTCCACTGAAATATACCGTCTTATTAGTCTCATTAAGCACCTCTAGTTATTAATAATGTGTGTCGATTTGAGACGATTCTGTAACAAGTCAATGAAGTCAATTCATTTCAATCCCGCGTAGCTAGAGCCACCTCCTAATAGTTATGTTTTAGTGGTAATGGTAGACTTACATCCTATCTGTTCAAGTAATCTGTGGAGTTGTTCGGTATTTGTTTGAGATATGACAATATCCTGTGCACTGATCTCATGGCTCTTCGTTTTTTTCTTCTTGAACATTGTTGCTGAATAACATTCGTTTCTTAAAATACTGCTATCTCTGAGCTTCATTTAGACTTCTTGTCGTTTTGTGTACTTTTCGAAGCTCTATGCTCTTCACTTTTATTGGTGAGCTTTCGGCATATAATGCCTTCGTCAGACCTTAATTACTTACAATACATTGCTGCATACAATCAGTTACTATCAGTTACAAAACAAAACACATCGAATCATACCAAGTCAACCGGAAATATTGGGGGAAAGGGGGAATGGACCTGTCGGCGGGGATCTTGAAGGGAAAATGGCCGCTCTTGTTCTGAGGTGACTATGTGTTATCACGTAATCAGTCTCAGTAGGTCATGCAACTCCTCTTTCGCATTGATTTCCGGCTTGATGCGGTATATTTCCCGTGCCTCCATGATTTTCCTTTCCAGTGGCCGTACCAAATATCTGTGCAAAACCCTCACATCGAAGGATGGAGCGTTTTCTTTCTCATGCCTAAGTGTACGGTGCCTGGAAAAACTGCTGTGTGG